AGCGCAAACATATTCTCTTTTACTCTTTGTCTAATTTCGTGTACGTTAGCATGAGTCAGTCGACGTGTACCAAATGTAAACGCTTTATTTCGCGTAAGCACCCGTGCGCTTTCTGTGATGCTGACAATGGTTTACGCCCCTCCGATGATTGCGTTCCTGTTGATGTGACGGGGGATGGCCGTCGTTGCCTCTACTTGGTGCTGCTGCTACTGTCTCTTCGAAGGGTTGTGCCTCGCCGCCTTCTCTCTCACTTCTGCCTAATGAAAAGGACGGATTGAGGGGTCATTTCTCTCAGATGTCTGCTGATGTGTCATTTGCTTTTTCGACAGTTAAGTCCTCTAATTAAATCCGTCTCCTCTCTGGAGCACAGAATTGCTCGTATTGAGTCATCACTTAGTCTTCTAGATCGTCTCGAGCGCATTTTGGAGATATTTAATGCTAGGATGGCGGAGTTCGACGAGATGTTTCAGCGTCTCGGGGATGTCGAGAGTATGACGGGTCGGCTGGCGGTGGTGACGGATGGCCTATCCGATCTGGTTGCTATGGGCGCAAGGCAGGTCATCCTTGAGGAGCGTTTCGCTAGGCTGGAAGGGAAGGTGATTATTGGTCCGGCAATTTCTGCTGATGGCTCTCATGCCTTGCCGGATAAGCTGTCTGCTAACTTTGAGCGCATAATCAATGAGCAGAGGGACTATGAACTCATCGTGTTTGGTTCACAGTAGCAAAACTATATATACATGAAGCCATGGTAGTATGAAGATTCGCGGGGCCGGGGGGAAAACTGGGCGAGAGTGGTATTGTGGTGCAAATTATTGCAAAGAATATTACTATGGCCTCGGTGATTTAATGGCTCCGGACGCTCGTACGGAATACAAGAGATCCGGGTTCGACTCCCGGCCGAGGTAATATTTTTCGCAATAAGTTTAATTAGAGGTTTTCAGCATATTAATATCTTTGAAATATGATGCCTGATTGAGCATCGAAATTATTAGAATTTAATTTAATTCGCGAAATTTACTGTAGTGATTTAATTGTGTTTAGTCCGGAAATATTTCGGTGCACAGTTCGTTAGACTACAATTGTGGTATATAGTATATGTCAAGTACATATATATATCATATTTAATGATTCAATATTGAATTATTTAAAGCATTTTAAGATCTAGCTTCGACCGTATAGGGCTCTTATTTATCGGTTGTGTCTCTCATACGCGGTCTTAAAAATGATATTATCAATATTTATAATTTTTTATTGAGGTGTTTTTAAACTATTTCACGCTTTTAAAAAAGCGTCGAAATAAATAACTTATAATCGATGTATTTCGTAGTATTAAATTAAAAAACACTTATAATAAAAATATTGGTTTCTTTCCGTTATCCTGTGTGTATGTGTGTGTAGAGTGTGACGTGACGTTTTTCACCGTCCATCACAAGGATCATTAGACCTGGCCGAAGCTGCGCGGCAAATCTGTCCTGTGTCCTCCCGACGCGGAGGGCGGGCGTGCCGACGCTGATTGCGATTTTTGAGCGATAATTTGGAGATTTTTATCGTTGCATTTCGCGTAATATTGCTATTTGTTTTTGTGAATTTATTTAAGATTTTTAGTATCGGCGGCTCCGGTAGATAATTTAGTGTGCGACGCATCCTCTCACCACCTCAAGGAGGCGGCAAAGAAGAGGATAGAAAACCATATTGGAGGCCCGAGGCCACCCAGAGGAGGGGTAGCGCACAGGTGATACCGTTTTGAATTATCGAATTAACGCCCTGTGCATAACTGTTTTCCTGTAGCTGAACTCCTTACAGGCGATTATGCCACGGGAGCGACTAAAGCGGCATGAGGGAATGGCCACTCTCTGCCTTAGTACGAGCGAGGGACCCCGCTGTCGGTGCAGCAAGAAAACCTCTGCCGAAGGGAGACATCGAACCCGGAAGCCGAGCCTGTCTGTAAGGGAACCCACCGAATCTTGACGACACGCCGGCAAGAGTAGACCAAAGGGGACCGTTGCGTGCAGCCGAAACGATGCCAGCCATAAGTCAAATTCCGCGCGACGCGATAGCAAGTCGCGAGGACTCGCAGAAGCTCGCGAGATGGCCTGTGACCAATCAGGGCCGATAAGGCTTACCACGTGGGCCCACGGTCGCCTGCGCGCCCCCGAAAGGACCTCGGGCCCGGCACTTGTGCTGTGGACGTCCGAAGCAACGCACGTGCGAGAGGACGCAGGACATTCAGCGAGAGAAGGAGGAAGTACCGCGAGGATTCCGTGGTAAGACGAACGTAACTTATTGTAAAGCCGCCGGTTTCCGCATCGGAGGGATCGCACGTATCCACGAAATTATCGCTGGATCCCGTGAGGTTGGATCCTCTCGCGAGTAAATGCGTCGCGACTGCACGCACGCACCGCGTGATCGTGCCATCCCGTCCGATATCGTCTTAGTTTCGTTATAATGTCGAGTCAGTTAATTCGCACGCCCGCCGCGAGTAGTAATGCTATGAGAGTTCTAACTCGGGAACTCCGAGGAGAATGCGGGGCGCGGGGGATTCTTCGGTGGTGGGGGTATGACATCATGCGAAGTGGCGGCAAGGATCCAACCGTTTTTCAGCCAAGATATGGTGTAATATAATTTTTCTAGAAACAATATTTATTAATTATTTTAAATATCAAAATACGAACAAGTTTCATAATTAATCGATTGAGCGCCAACATCTGGCTGCTATCGAAATCGATGATATTGAAACGCAATGTCTCCCAACCTTGATAAAAGACCTTCGATCGTTTATTCTTTTTTTGGAAAGGACATGACAATCGAACATGTTTTTTGCCAATATGTTTCAAGGTTAGTAGAAGTGTAAATGTAAGTGAAACTCGATAGAATTGTATTTTCATAAATTTTATGAGGATAGAGCGTTTTTTTCTAAGCATACTTTGAAAATGAGCGTATAATGCTCTACTCTGAAAAGAGGGAGTTACAGACGAAAATGAATTCAGTCTAGAAATGTGTCAGATTACAGTACGTTGAAACCTACGAGAGTGAATTCATTTTACGTTTATTCTTTTTTGGAAAGGACATGACAATCGAACATGTTTTTTGCCAATATTTCAAGGTTAGTAGAAGTGTAAATGTATGTGAAACTCGATAGAATTGTATTTTCTATAATTGTGTTTTATACGTATATGAGACGAAAGGAATTGAAAGACTTTAAGTGAAACTCTAGAATTTTAAAATTTCTTAAGTTTATGAGGATTATAATTTTGAAGCAAAAAGCTTTTCCTAAAAAAAATGAGAAAAACGGTATCTTCGGTTGAAAAGAAGGGTTACAGTATGAAATTGGGTCTAGAAACGCACAGTCTAGAAGCGAACTTTGGTAAAATCGTGTCATAGAGTTGTATACTGAATAATGGAAAATATAGTGCATATCGTCCGTAATATGCCAGAAGAAGACGTGATGGACATCGTCGACGAGGTATTCGAAGATGTGAATTTTGAAGATATAATGGATGATGATGATGATAACGTATCCGCATTATCGGATGATAGCGGTTGTAATAGTGATCAGAGTGAGGATCGGAGTGATGAAGACACTAAGAACAAAATAATATATCCTGAAGAAGTAATGGCACTGAACGAGCTGACAAAACAGTGCGACATATATTTTTGTTACACAACGGGTGGTTTATTCGTTCTGTGCACATCGTGTATGGTGAGATTAACAGACATTGAACACATGTACATCATGCGTAAACATGTTATTAAATCGCATGCAGCCATAGATGGCAAATACTGTTCGGAGTGCAGAAGACCATGTTTTTTAATATT